GCATTCCTTATTTTAAGGACTAATCTCCTTTTTGCATTTAAAATGCCCTACGAACACTAAGTTTTTAATTGCAAAAAGGAGATAAGTCCTTAAAATAAGGAATGCCAAATGCAGCCTTAAACAATCAAGCTCAAGACCATTTAACTAAAACTGAACCTAAGCCTTTTAACAAATAAGTTCAAATGGAATATTAAAGGCTTAGACAATTAGGTTCAGTAGTTGATCAAGACAAAACACTTAAAACAATCTAGCTACTAAATTAATAAATTTGCAACTTCAGAATAAAAAGCAAGTGTCATAGTAGAGTTGTAGGGTTTAGTAGTCAACAGTACAGCACAATAATAATAATGACTACTAGGATAGTGGCTGACAAATGAATTAAAGGAGAATATCTGGTTAGTTGTTCTATAGATAATGAATAATGAGAACAACAAGTACAAATAAATGTAGAAAGTAAAGGAGAAGTTAAATGTAAATAAGCATTATAGCAAATTGCAGCTACACCTAGTGATGTATGCCTTTGTAGCTAGAAAGAGAGGACCAGCCACAAACATGTAGCAAAGATATGAACCTGCTACACAAGATAGCTGAAATATGGGCCAACTATCAAATTAAATTTAACTACAGAAAATAAATTAAGGTAAATTACAAAGACCCCCTTATACTAAGGGGTTGGTGACAAAGACCCCTATACTTCAATTTGTGACGAAAAAACCCCTGAACTTTTACATTGTGACAAATACCCCCTCGGTCGTTAAGTCAGATGACAAAAGTCATTAAATTACCAAAATACCACACTAAACCTTTTCTATTTTCTTTTTCTTGCCATTTTTTCTTAAAACCTAACTCACCCAAATAAAGATATGTTGCTCCAACAAAGCGATCGGGAAAACAAATACTCTGGTTTTCTGGCTTCATGTTGTTGATCTCTTTCTATAAATGAATCTTCTCCATTGGAGAAGACAATGAACAGTACAAAGTGTAAAAAGCAAAGTAAGACAATTTCATGAATTAAAGAAAAAGATAAAATAAATTAGAAAATGGTAGTTTTGGCATTTGGAAAACTTTAAATAGTCATATGAGAATCTTTTTCAAAGTTAACTGATGGAGCGGTAACATAGGGGGGTCTTTGTCTAACGACTAAAGTTCAGGGGGGTCTTTGTTGCAAATTAAAGTACAGGGGGGTCTTTGTAATTTACCCAATAAATTATGCAAGAATGCAAATGAACAATAAAAGTAAACAACAAAATAATAAACAAAACAGTTAGCAATATTAGTAAAGTTAAAACTCAAACTACAATGACCTTCCTTGTATCTTGTAGATAAAAAAGAAGACAAAAAAACATAAAATGTAAATCTATAAGATCTCAAGGCTTCAAGTATTGCAATGTTGAGATAGTTAGTGCAAATAAAATAAACTATAATTTTAAAAGAAAAGAACCAAAAACAAGAGGCACATAATATTTTTATAAAGGTTCAAACAACCCTACCTACATCCTTTACCTTAGACCACCACTAAGGATTTCTACTATTTGATTGGACTTCTTGAGCACCAGCTAAGCCTTTAACTAATAGGACTTCAAGGGTGCTTGCAATGCCTTTTCTAGTTGGACTTACACAAGTGCCAACAAGACCCAAACCAAGAGAGCTTCCAAGTGCCTACAAGACCTTGTAGTTGGACTTAACATAGAAGCCAACAAGACCTTAATGGTGTTCAACTTCTACCTGCTCAAAAATGTTTCACTAATAAGCATAGGTGCATGTTTACAATGCAAGAGCATTCTCTTGATATGTAATTAGGTAAATATAAACAATTACAATTCAAACTAAAAAATTGCTAGAGTATTCATAAATGCTCATAGTGAGAGGGAGAGAGATCAACAAATGGGTGAGGATGACTCAATGCCTTCAACAAAACTCACCTCTAAAACTGATGAAACTCAAGAATCTCCTTCAAGAAGACTCTAACTCTAGCTTGCTCTCTCTAAGAAACAACTATTTACAATATGTACAAGTAAAATTATTGGTTGTTTTTTCACAAACTTTTATCTGTTTTTTACTTGTTTTAAATCAAGCTAAGAACCACTATTTATAAAGGATTAAGATCAACTAACATTCTAACAATCTACTACAATACAAAGGAAAGAATCTTTCTTCTCCTTAGTCAAGTGTTTCTACTTATCAGTCAACTTGTAAGCCTATGAACTCATCCAATTTGAGTAAGTCGACACATGTTCACTACTAGTCAACACATCTTCTAAGAGTAGGAAATTTGCATGCCTCAGTTGTCATAGTTAATCAACACATGAATATGGGAAATTGATTACGTCTCACAATTTTGGCTATGCATGCCTCGACTATCATAGTTAACCGATATATAAATCTAGAGTATTCAACTACTTCTCACAATTAGGTCCAATTTGATTGACAAACAACCTAAACACTTTGAAACCTTGACACATTTTTCCAAGAGGTTTTAGAAACTTTTCCTTTGGCTTTCAAAGATGTTTTACTGACTTTTATAGCATGATTAAGCTTAGAAAATCCAATGAACCAAACTCAAAGGATTATGATTTCTATGGATGACTGAGTTTAGTCTTTTTTAGCATCTGTGAGATGCATCATACAACTAATTTACATCAAGGTTCTATAAAATATAAAACCAAATAAATACAACATGTTATATAAATATTGACTCCTTGATGAATTATTGTAGCATATCAATATTCAGCGGCTCTAAAGCCTTTAAATTCTTAAACAACCTTGATGCTTGATTTCTTAGAGCTTCCTTAACTAGAGAGAGGTTGATGATGGTGTAATGTTGAAGCACAGACAGATACTTAACAGAGCTTCCACTTGATCATTTGTAGCATTCTAGCTTTATATCCAATTAAAGCACAAAGAAGCTTGCCAAAGATGTTACACTCTGAGATACACCATTAATACTCTAAATGTGTTTGTTATCATCAAAACACATAGGATTAACAGTCCCACTCATCCCCCAAACACATACCCCCTGTTGGGACCAATGTCCTTACCCAAGGGGTGGTGAATTAGGTATAATATTAAAAAACTTACACTTTAAAAGGTTAAACTTAAAACCTTTCCCCCAAAAATTGAATCTAAGCCTTCTTGTTAGTTTAAATCAAGATGTAGCAGAATAAAGCTTTTATCCAATGGACTTAGTAGTTAATCAAGAATATGTTCTCAATGATTAACCTTACTATTGAATATAGATCTACAACATCTCAAAGTATATAAGAGAAATAAATATGATGTTATGAGGTTAATGGTAATGTAATTAAATAAAGGACAAATAATAAAGGGCAAATTTCTTAATATATCCCTATGATTTAGGAAATTGACTAACTCTACCCTTACTTTTTACATATTGCCTTGAAGTATCCTTAATATTTTTTACAATTGTTTAAAACCTCCCTTGCCGTTAATTTTCTGTCACACTCCGTTCACATGTGATATGAATAATATATTTCTTAAAATTCCTAAAATACCCTTTTAAAAATTCAAAACAATCATTAATAAGTTGATCCCACTCTTTCTTCTTCTTCTTCTTTTTCAGTGCTGCAAGCAGAGGACAATTACGAAGACTGGAAGTAACTTACCATGTCCTTTATTAGAAACAGCTACTTTTCATGGTGGATTTGGCCATTGCTTTTCTATGTTTGTCCATCTTTGGGTGAGAATAACCCTTTCTTAGTGGATTTGGCCAAACGATCAACAGCTTTCTTGGTGGACTTGGCTATAGCATCGCCTTTCTTTTCTTTCTTTGGGTGAGAATCACTTGGACTCTCATAAATCTAAGCAATTACTTTAGTGCAAGCTCTAGCCATTGATGTGACTGGCTTTTCTTTGTTTCAGTGGGAAGCACTCATATTGTGATAGGCTTCCATGGTAACTCCGGCCATTTCTTTACCTTGCTTTTCTTTCCTTGGATGAGAACTACTGCTACTCCAATCTGAAGGTAGTGTTACCTTTCACAAGAATTTCTGTCATATATCTTGACATTGAATTTGGACCGGTCTGCTTTGTTCTACTCCAAGCTAAACCCAACGAGCACAAGCATGGATTGTTCTACTAATTCACTTTTTCTTCAACCGATTTTCTTATGGTTCGGCCTAGCTCAAACTCTTTTGGAACGCCCATCTGTCATCCTTTCCCTAAATATCACACATTATTTACCAATGAAGGAATCTTAGATAATTCAACGAAGGTTCAAAATATCAAAAATGCAATATGCATCGAAAAGACAATTTTAAGAAACGTATCGAGATATGTTTCAGATACACAGATACAAATGAAAAATCAAAATATGCATAGGAAATTCAAATAAATCATAAAAAATATATTAATAACAATACTTACAAGTTTGATATGATTATAAACAAGTTATTTAAATGTAAAAAACCATAATTTAATGTTTATATAAAATGTGACATCAAGATATAATTAATAACAGTTGAAAATGAAGGAAAAGATAAAATGTGAAAAAAGCAAAAAAGAACTAAAATAGGAATGTATATACATAAATTTTCAAATAACCAATATAAATTATCTTAATATTTATTAATATATAAATTTTAATAATTAATTAAAGCATTTATTAATAAGCCCCTCTAAGAAAAGATAAAATTTACTTAAAACTAAAAATGTATATAATTATAACAAACAAATCGAAGTGGCTTAGTGGCAAAGTTATGGGTGTTAAAATCTAGCGACCAAGGTTCAATTCTTGTTATTGCTAACATTTGTTGTTTTTATACTAACAGAACTAAATTAAAGGAAATTAATGAGATGATCATTAATTAATTGAAATAATGAGGGAATTGGAATTAAGCACTAAAATTCAAATTTGAATTTAAATTTGCTTTAAATATAAGACTAATTAACTAATTAATGAAGGAGAAGTTAGACATAAATATAGGAGTAAGAAACTACATTATTGAGAGAGATTTGGTATTAAATATAAATTAAAATTAATGGAAGAAAGGGAACCGAAACAATTCGGTTTATAGCAGCCTATTTCAGGCTCGTATCGATTGATACATATCTGAAACAGCCCGATACGGGCCCATATCGGCTAATACATATGAAAAGAAACGAAACAATTGATTTATAGGTGTTCCGTGTATCAAGTTCTTATCAAAAGGGTACGTATCAGCCGATATGGCCCGATACATTAAGACATTTTAAACCTTGGATGGTTTACCTAAATTACTCTTCATTTCACTTAATAGAAATTACATAAAATACTAGCATAACCAACAGAAACACAATGAGTGACAACTACATCCTAAAGATTGCAACAAAGTGAAATCACAATTAATTAGAATCTGACTTCTGCTTCTTTGACCTATGATCACCTGCACTATTCTTCAACTTGGACTCACGGCGTTCCCTTTTTAGCCCCTTAACCTTATTTGATAGTGCCATACCACCAACCTAGATGTCGAGCAAAATAAATAAATAAAATGAAAGTGAGAATCAAATTTATTACAAGCTACCATGATTAATTCAATGAACATGCGAAGAGGAAGGAAAAAATGAAGATACAGAAGACAAAACACTACCTTTTGATCTGGAATGTATATCTTCCCAATTTTTCCTTGTACTGCATCACGGCTAACATTTTTCTCCTGAAAAAGGTAAAACAAGTCGCATCACTTAAGCATCTCTGCTTCGCTGTACAACAGAAAAGATAGTTGCACATGCATGTGCACAAACCAACACAAAGCATAGAGGATTTCAGAGAGAAGACTTGGTGATTAACCTTTTTCTTAGGCTTTTCAGCAGAAGTTTTCATGGCTTCTTTCCTTAGGCTGTCGTTGGGAAGACGATGCCGCCGAATTACTAAATCCATGGATGGGCCCACTTCCACCAGCTCCATCCTTGGAACAATTGTGCCTGACCTTTTTAATCTTAGTGCACAGTGTGTGAAGAACACTCTATTTGAGGATACAGCTGTACAAACAAATACCCGGTCTACACCAGCAAGGTTTAAATTCTCTACAACCTGCATGAATCACAAACATACTAATTCAGTTTTGTACTTTCTTGATCGTTAGGAAGAAGGAAATTTTGAAATATATTATGTACCTCTCCCCTGAATAAGTCGAGCAAAACTTCCTTCAAATGTTTCAGCTCTTCTATGCTTTCAAAACCTTCTCCAATAAAAGCAAAGAAAGGTTTTGACCCCACATGGGGAGCTATTTTCTTTTCATATGAAAAGGAGTCCATGGTTTTGAAATTCTCCACTCCAACCTCAACAAGATCATAAATGTGATGATCATAAGTCCGCCCTATAACTATATTATTGGGGCGTTTCTTTGAGTGGGAACCAAACTGAATGGAAAGAAAAAAAAAAGGGAAAAAAAAGTCATAATAGTATCCATGAACATAAGCTGTATTAATAAACAGTAGAAGAATGAAAACCATATTTAACCTTTCTCTTGCTACACTGGGCACCGTAAAAACTCGACAAGTGAAATCTAACCATTTGGTACTTACATATAGACCTTGAGCATGATCTCCAAGTATAAGGATGGCACCCTATAAATATCAATTTTATCTAGTAACCCATTTAAGTGGTCTGATGCTAATTCTAGTGTTACACCTCTGTCATGATGATGATGACGATGATGATGAAGATGATAATGATGATGATGATGTAATTTGGGAACTAAAGGGCCATTGCTTGGTGCAATGGTAAAATCTCAGGCTAACGAGTTTGAAAATGCAAGTCCGAGTAAATGACCTCTTTGTGCAAAAGATACTGAAGTTAGGTCCAGTCCACCCCTTCCAGGAACCCAGATAGCTGGGACTAACATTGAATAATGACCCCTTTTTATTTGTAGCTTGGGAAATAAAGTATAAAGTCGGGCATAATTGATAATTCACTTTTTCCTGTACCTTATGGAAGGCTACAAGTCCAGAATATTCAAACATGAAAAATGCTTTCTTTCATTGAGGAAAAATCCTGGAGAGTAGAAAGGAGACGAAGACTTTAGTGTAGATAAGGTAAGACAGCTTTTCTCATGATCCAAGTACAGAGGTAAGCCAGCTTTTCTCATGGGTTTGGGTGTAAATAGAAGGACCTATAAGTTATATTTTGAGGCGTATACATCTTCCTGATTAATAGTAGAAGCAACTATGAGATAGAAGATGTGGAAGGAAGTGACACTGAATCTGGATAAAGAAGTCAGATCGACTCAAGCTGCTGAATCATAGTTTGGTCGGTTGTTTCGTAAATTCCAACCCAGATGTGGAGAAGATCGAAGAGTGGGCTGCTGCTGAATGGCGACCCGAGAAACCTTTACACATGAGGAAGCTAAATGCTGGTTTCTTCTTGTTCATCTTCAAGAGCGAGGAGACAAGCAACATCCTTATGAGTGAACAGAATAAGTTTCGAGAACCTGATCTCAGAATCAGGAGATGGAATCCTTTAGTCAGGGCAATCGGGGATATGGGATCCTCTGAATATGGTTTGGATTACTGTTTTCGGCATACTCTTGCATGCATGGAGCTTCCAAACTTTTAAGATAGTGGGAGACGCATGTGGAAGATTCAGATTCGTTGACCCTAGAACAATATCATGGAGAAACCTTTCTGCTGCTTGTATCTTAATTGAAGTTTGAAGAGATCCACCTTGTTCCTACTTTCCTATCCCTCCGTTTCATCAGTGAATCTTTCAACTCGAGATTGGTCATAGAAGGATCTTACACAACGAGATGGATCAAAAATATGGAATTGTCAAGAGAAGACACCCAAAAGATCAGGTTGAGTTCTGGTGGTGGAGGGAAGACAAAAAGTCAGACTCAAGGTTCAAAGTATCAATATGTATCAGTCAATACATATCATATCGGGGCTTTCCCGATATGCCCCTATAGGGGGTGTTTCGGGTCAGGCCATGGTTCAAAGGGTAGTCAGGCCTTAAACCAACCCCTCTGAACCGGTTTTGAAAATTAAATAAATAAACACAAAAAAGAGAACCAATACAGGCCGATACGCTGATACTTTGAACCTTGGTCAGACTGAAGGGGTAGGGCGCAAGGTTGAAGACGAGGGTATTTTAGGAAGCAAAAATATTTATGGTTCGGTTGGGGTCTTTACCATGGGCCGCATAATGGACAATGAAAGTACAGTTCCAAAGAGAAATAAAAGTGGTGGGGCGAATCGGTGGGAAAGGCAAATCGACTAGGACACATGGAAGTAGAAAGAAGGGAGAGAAATGGGGAGATGAAAGAAAAGGAAAAAGTTGGAATTTCAGAAGATGAAGAGACAGCATGGGCAGGAAAAGATGGTGAAGGTTCGATTGTGGACCAAGCTTCGAAGACAATGTTCATCAATAATGTTGGAGAGTTCTCTACAAAGCATAGTTTCAAAAGGGTTTCGAACAAGAGAAAGTTTAAGCGATATTCATCAAAAAAAAAAAGAGAAAGTTCAAGCGATCTAGATGTTTTAGGCACACATTTGAACCTCTTAATCTAAGAGAATACTACGATGAAAGGAAAAGRGAGAAGACAAATCCTAATCAGCGAGTAGATAAGTTTATCTCTTTTGGTGACTTGTAGTCGAGCTCTCTTCCTTTTCGTCACAGACATGGAAAGTGGTTGTTTGTTCAGAAGGTTCAAAAGGCCAGAAGGAAGGGAGGTGGTTTTTGGGGAAGTCGCGAAAGGAGTTAGTGAGGTGGGAAGGGGAGGACAATGAAGGAATGTTAGGTAGGGCCGACTATGGAGGGGACGACGCTAAGAGTTCGACTACTGAACACGGCGACGAGGTTGTGAGAGAGGCTTTGGACAAGAACGACAAAACATACCCATCTTTGGACTATGAGGATTATCAAAAGTTTGAAATTTCAGCTGGTAGGATTGGAGTACATCTAGGGCAGAGGAGTTGTGAACAAGAAGGTGTCGTAGGACCTATAGAAGGAGTGAAAGAAGCTAGAGGGACAAGCATGTGTAGCCTTGTCTATGTGTCTAAGGTTTTCTCAAGGCTAAAAGACGGTTTGATTGGATCAAGTCCTTCTAACAAATATAAGAGAGTGTACAGAAGGAAGACATTAAAAGGCTTAGATGCAAGGAGAAAGGGTGATGAAAGGAGAGGGGAGGAGCATCAAGTTGTCATAGGGGAGATAAAGCCTACTCTAACAAAAGAAGGGCCGGAGGTTAGACCAAGGTCGGGATGAGAAGAGGGAGGTCAAGCTGGTGAGAGTAGCCTTACTTTGTCTCAACGAGCTGACAAGGAGGGGGAGAAAGTGGGGATTAAGACCTTGGTGGACAGGGAGGTTAAAATTGGTAAGAGTTTACGGCTATTCTTTTGGGGAGAAGAATTCGCTAGAAGTGCTTTTGAAAAATTTGGAATGTGTAAAAAGGAAGAGAAATAGAAGAAGATGTTGCAAAGGAAAGAAGAAAAAGTTTGGGACAAGGAAGATGATGGGCAGGACGAGTCATTTGATCCTGAAGACTATCCAATGTATGAAAGGGGGGCGAGGGAATTCTCAGTCTTTCTTTTGGTTAGTCTTGTGTCGTTGTAAGCCTTACTGTTGTTGGTAGTGGGTTTGGGTGTTATCTTAACACCCCTGTCAGTGTTGTAATTTGCTTTTTATTTTATCATTAAATTTTTTCTTTTATTCTTCAAAAAAATAATTTTATTGATAAATATAAAGGAATGGAATGGATACAGACATGGACACATATGAGAAATGGGGATATAACTCTCCATTTCCTAAAGTTCTGGACATGAATCAGACACAAGTATATTCCATTTAATACGCTTATATCATGTGTTTATATTTAGTTTTTGAGGTTAAATGTCATTTCCCAAGACTGTCTTGGCAAATTTAAATTAAATTTTTAACATGTTCAATATTTTTGAAGTAAAATTTATTTAAAATATACCACCTTAAATATTTTAAAAGTGTTGATGCTAGAGAGTACATACCGGTATTAGGGTAGTATAGTTGATAAATGTGCCAAGCACCTCACATTGGTAGACTAGACTAACTTGTCTACCCCTAATTATCTTTTTCAATTCCAAATTATGGTCAATCTCCGTGGAGGACATAACCAAAATACAACTGTTTTTTAGTTTTTTTTCCTGAGAGAACGTAAAATATAACATATTGATTGGGAAAGAAGAAAAAGGTAGAAAAATCCAAATACAACCAATTTCTCTGAAACTCTGGTGTCAGATGGGAAGGAGAAAGTCCTACATGATGGGAATAAGAGTTCTCCTTTGATGACATTTGGAGAAAGGTGAGTGGAGGTAAATTGGAAGCCTCCTGATGCAAGCTTTGTGAAATTGAACTTTGATGGAAGTAGCCAAGGCGATTCTCGCACTTCTGGAATTGGAGGGGTGTTGAGAGATTGATCTAGATATATTATAGCTCTATTCTCAGGTCCAGTGGGTGAGGGTAACTCCATCAAGGATGAGCTGCTTGTTGCATTACAACGAGTAAAGATTGCACATTATTTGAACTTGGTACATGTGAAAATTGAAGGGGACTCAAAATTGGTGGTAGGACAATTAAAGGAGCCAGAATCAGTATTTGGTGTTTTGGGGAGGAGATGAAATTATACGGTTTACTAGAGGCATGAACCTAACTACCTAAGGATAGTTTGAGTGAGAAGGTTGGCTAATGGGACAGCAGATGCTTTAGCTAAGAAAGGGGTGAACAGAAATCATTTGTTTTGGAACCAGCTGTAACTTGATTTTTCTTTTTGTTATAGTGGGAGGTTACATCTCGTGCCTCCCCTTGAGAAGCTTGTACTGTTCTGTTTAATGCTCTAATCAAATTTCACTTATCAGAAAGGATCTAAATTATGAGGAGAGATTCAGATCTGAATAGAAAAGTGAAAGAAAAGAATAATGCACTTTTTAAAGCAAAGAGATATAAAGTAGATAAATGCATGATTACCCAAAATAAATGTTTGTTCCATCAAATCAACTTTCAAAGTTCCAATTACCTGCCTCTTTTTATACACCAAACATGAGATCTGAATCACTTAAGCTCATTTCAAGAGCACCACATCTCCTGACCCTCTAGTTCACCCAACTTATCACAGTTTTCAAGCCCCCTTCAATTACAAGTCTCTCCACCCCATCTCCTTTGCCTTTTAATTTCTTGGAAAATTTTAGAAAATTATTGCTCAACTCTATTCCTAAGAAACCAACAAACTATAGTACCAAATTTTAAATAGCCCAAAATTACTAGCATTCCATTGGTTCAAGAATATGGAGAACATTTCTTCTTCCAAAGGCTATATTTATTTATATTTTGATGAATAATAGGAAACTTTATTAAAGAAACTCAAAGAAGTAAAACAAGATAAAATTCAATACAA